ATATATATATATATATATATATACACACACACACACAGTGGTACCTCAGTTCTCGAACTCATTAGAACTCAAATTTCTTAAAAGTCGAACCAACCAGAACTACCTAGAACTTGATCTGAATCTCAGAAGTCAAACCGTGAACGCCGACCTAAGATAAGCGTGGGGAAATGAGTCACGCGGCACATCTCTCAGCGGAAACAAAGGGTAAAGCTTCAGTCTCAGCCTCTCATTTGCTGTGATAGCATCGTGCATGTTTACACTAGCTGAATATGAATATTTAGACAGTAAAAATACATTTAGACAATGATAAACAGTAACAGTAATTATTATATAATAAAATACATTTAAAAATAAAGATTTCTTATGAATTACTTTAATATTAATAATAAACCATTAATACATTTAATTATAATAATATTGTTGTGCCCAGTGGGGACGGAACGGAGACAAAGGCGCAGACGTCAGGGTATCGGGGAATACGGGGTTTAATTACAGGTAAGGCAGGCAGAACGCAGACGGACAATACAATGACCGAACTGGGGAAACAAACTGAAACGCGGACTAAATACGGATGACTAATGACAACAACCAGAAACAGCTGATTACACGTGGGTTCCACAAGGGGTTAACCAGGGGGCGTGGCACATGGAAGGAGGGGACGATCGGGGCAGGACACATAGTTGTTTTTTTACTTTACACATTGTTTGAATACATTTATTTTCTTACTTTACAAATTACTGTTTTGATAAATGTGCTTAGATGTGTTTGGTACAGTATATGCTCTTCTTGTTTTATCCGGTTCATTTTGTGTTTAAATGCTAAAAAAAAAACATATTTAGGTGTAATTTTTTGGGGCCAGAAACCAATTAATTGGTTTTCCATTATTTCTTACGGGGAAAATTAGATCTCAACTTTCGATCTGGAGTTCTGAACGGATTAACGGATTAAATTCGAGTTCTGATGTACCACTGTATATATATGTCCTCCCGAGACCCAAGGAAAAAAGTGTCCTTCAATTTGTCTTTGGAGGAAATAAGACATCTTACAATTTAGATTTTTCCAAATTTATTTTTATTTTTAATTTCACAGCATGTCCTCTTTAGTGTACAACAGGAATAAGTATGTTTCCTTACACTAGTGAAAAGACGCAAAAACAACACGTCCACTACAATGGACATAAATGAATGGGTGGGGTCTCAGGAGGATGGATATATATATATATATATATATATGTGTGTGTGTGTGTGTATATATAATTCATAAAGCATTGATAATGCATAATACATATAGCTAAAATGTGTTATGCCTTTTTATAAATATTTATAGCCATGTTTATAATGCTTTATAAATGCATTATTATATGTTATGAATGTGTTTATAAATTACTTAAGGCCATATATTTAGTAAAGTGTTACCAGAGAATCTAACCAAACCTAAATACACTTCCTCAAGAGCACTGGTTAAGGTCTACCCATTTCCCAATGACTTACTTAGTTGTGGGGTAGCATGGGACCCAGGGTAGGGCTACACCCTAATACATCCCCCTAACATTATTATGGATACTGTAGATCCCATCTCAGGAAACATAGGGCAGGAGATGACCAGGACGGCATACCAGTCCAATGCAAAGCACACAGCCCTATAGACATGGGCAGAACATGCAAACTTAACACCGTGAGGCCCTGTTGGTACCCGCTGAGACCCTGTGCCACCCGCGATGTGGCGTACAGCAGCTTCCTGTTTCAGAATTCACCAAGGAATGCTCAGTATGACTAGCTAGGTAGTCAAGGGCAAACAGCAGCCATGTTTGTAACACTCGCTTGCGCCTATCGCCACAGAGGGCCTGTTCTCTCACCGCTTCCTGCCCTGCAGTCACAGAGCCATGAACACCACGTCTGAAGGGGCCACTGGCACCTCCAGCTCAGGAAATTGATTCCAGTGGTGAAAGAAATAATCGCGATCCACCACTGGGGCAATGGCTGTTCTCCAGTGTCCCTCGCTGTTCTCCAATGTCCCTCGCTGTTCTCCAGTGTCCCTCGCTGTTCTCCAGTGTCCCTCGCTGTTCTCCAATGTCCCTCGCTGTTCTCCAGTGTCCCTCGCTGTTCTCCGGGTTGTTCTGTGCACCGGCTACTGGAGTGGACACCCGTCTCCATCTCCCGGGCCTCTGTCTGGGATTCTTTGGCCCGTTGCGGCTGACTCCCCCATGTCTGAAGTCACTGGTGGAGGAAAGCTGCCAGAGGTTGAGTGGAGGTTGAGGTTGAGGGTACGTGAAAGATGAGCCTGAAAGGAAAGGGAAAAAAAAAGCAATTATGATGTTGGACAGGTTAGCCAAATAGCAAGCCAAGATAATTTATTCCTTAAATGTTTCCTTTATACCTTGTTGAAGGATGATAACAAATCGCTTTCATAAAGGGGACTTAATGCCTTTTGCCGATTCCAGCCCTTTCACTTACCTCCAAGAATTCCTGGGTGAAATTCCCTATCTGTTGGCCGCCCTGTTGCCTCTTTTTGGAAGTTGGAAGTCGCTTGACGGGCCTGTGTTTTCATTTGGTCTCCGGAGGACAGGCAGAGCTGAACACCAGGTGCGATGTGTTATGTTTTATCACTCAGATCATTTTATTTGCGTTGTTTGGCAAAAGCTCACAGTTTGTTCCTGCCCCAGAATATACTTGTCTAATGGTAAAATGATTTGCAGCGCGTGAGAGAATATGAACTCCTCTGAAGTCACTGTTTTTCTTTTAAAGAGATTAAAACTCTACACCTACAAATCAGTTTCTCTTATTATTCAGAATTGCCCAGATATGTCTGTGTAAATTTTCACCCATGTGCAAAATGTAGAAACTGATGCTATCAGACATAATGTTTCAGACCATTGAACATCTACCATTATATCTGCAGATTAAGATTTATTTCTTACACAGCATGACATAAAGGAATCAAAAGAAGGGCTTATTATTTGTTGTAGCTGTAACTGTAATTATTAATAGCATGGCCAAAGAGGGAAGACACAGGTCTGGGATCAGTTAAGAGTTAACCTGAGTCGTTTTGAAATGCATGTGCTGTGATTGCACTGATTGCAGGTTTCCGAGCAGTGAGAGGGATGTGATCTCTGAGACAGGAATAATGCAGAGTTTTTGCCGCATGGATGATAAGGGAGCGAGAGACGGGCGTCTCCGTAAGGCCACCATTTTGGACAACAGCGCTGCGGCGACGCCTTTTCTGCTTATATGGAGGCTTGTCATCATAATAATATCAATTAGCAGACTCTTATCTGTGCCGATTTACACAGTGCGTTATCAGGGGCTTTTATCCACAGTGAATAACTCCACTCAGAGCTGTTTATACACTGATTTAATTTAAGCACTGTCTTGTAACTCGATCACAGCTGCCTTGAACAAAGTCCTTTAGTGCAGTATGGCCAGCTCTCCCAGCCCTGTGAAAATACGAGAAAATACATTTTGATACCTAGTAGTAATTGACAAAAGCTGAATGATCGTTCTACACCTAGTCAAACTCTACAAAGATAAATGGTTCAAGTCGATGTGGGGACCTTTTGAGGAATTTGGTTACTGCAATTTATGTGTAAATAGGTATTAGAAAATAACTGATTGTAATCATAATGCTTTTCCTGACTTATTAAATGGTTTGAGTATTCATCCAAATCCGTAGTGAACAAAAAAAAATAATTTGCAAACTATGGTCTTCAATGAGAGCATAAAAGATGAGCTGAGATTATATTTCAGTGAAATATTTCCTTTTCTCTTTCTTTGTGGTTTCAGTGTCATTTTTTTGACTCTCAGTCAAGCGGGTCAGTTTTGCTCAACTGTAGTCCTTCCCAGCTAAAGTAAATGTTAAACATAATACTCAAACTGCCATTTATTCTTTTGGGAAGGGCAGAACAGGACTGGCTACATGTAAAGCAGAGATAAGTAAGACATCAGCCTGTACTTCATTATTTCTGACATTTCGGTCATTGCTGCAGGTTCGGATGATATCAGCTTTTGTGTTATACAGGTCTACTGTGATACTCCGGGAAATGTCAGACCATACAGATGAGACTATTAGGTTTAGTTTAGCAGTTCAGGTATTTGGCCAATTATTTGTAAATTTCTTAATTATACATTTTCCCCAAGTGGCTTTTTTCGAAATCGTGTTTACATCAAGGCACAATATCATTATAAGCTATATAACCGGCCTTCACATGAAAAAATATGCAGTTATTCAACAGACTGTACCAATGGGAAACACTGGGCTCGTGGGCTGACTCATCCAGAGACATCCCACTGTGATGGGAAGCTTGGTTGGTAACGTCCTTCTTACAGAGCTGAGAGAGGACAAGCAGCTGTTCTGAAGAGCGCTAAGAGCTCAGTGTCCAAAACGCCAAGTCACCACCCCCCTCCACATGTGACCTCTGACCTTCAACTCTCAGCTTGTCACCTCAGGTGTTCAGAGTCGAGATGAACAGAAGAACTTTGACATCCTGAAGAATTGATAAGGGGGTCTTATTATCGGTTTTGTCCATTTTGAACAACCCCAAGATTCCGATGTGGATCAAGGATTTTACTCCAATAAGGAACGGGAAGCTTAACACACTTAGTCAGCATGAATCCTAAAATCATACAATGTCGAGCTTTCATGTTCATGACGTCTCATGTAGGCTACAGGGAGCCTTGCAGTCATCTATATTTAAGCAAGCTCACATCTCTTTCCCTTGTTTTTTTTTAATTGAAACACCTTTTTATAGATCTATGTGGGCTTTGATCTCACACTTCCCTCTCTGTTCTTTTGTTGACTGCTTTTGTCTCCATCTGGCTGTTTGCCCACTGTACTATAACCGTGATAAGATCAGGAGACGGGCAGGTGTCATCCATCAAACCTCGTGTGAGGACTCACTTGATTATCACTTTGTCAGACTAAAACCTTACAGCCTGCAAACAACACATCAAAGTGCTGCTGGGTCAAGATATCTTTGCACTGTGGTTTCTGCTCTTGTAGCACACAGTGAATGATATGGTGTGGAAAGACTTGAGGAATCCCTTTGTTCCAAAAAGAGCTTTATTTGTTAGTAGTAAAGTTAAGTGCATTATCTTGGCTTATACTGCAGGTTAAATAAATTAGCATCAGGCACTGACTGTAACATAGCAATCTTTTAAAATGGGGTTTTACTCTGTGTGGCTCAGAAAGTTCTGGAACTCCCCCCCCCACAATCCTTCCTCACATTGGTGGCTTTCATTCATCCGTAATGCTGTCATTGGCCGAGTCTTTGTTCCTGTGACACGTGACAATAGTAACAATTATGGAAATGTGCAGTGATGCTTTGTGTAGGTGGATGTATAAAATACTATAAGGCTGGTGGAACTTGAAAGAGAATTAAAAAAACTGTAAATTCATTTATATTTACATAAATTCATTGTGGATTTTAACTGAATTCCATTAAAATAAAAGTGGATTACTGTCTGGATATTTCCTCCATGTTGTGGGTTTTTCAGGGATTTAAATGCAAGCTAAAGGCTAACGATGCATTATTTGCCCTGTCCTGCAATGTGTTAAACTGCTGGAGGTAAGAGGAGATCAATGCTCTTCATATTTTACAGAAGAGAGCTATTGATCGGGGTGCCTAGCTTTGCGTGGAGCGGAGTTTCATTGGCCCACAATAAAATCCACATTAGTTTAATCAGTGAGTTGCATCACCTGTCATATTGTTCATTTCCAACCTGATAACTCAAAAGCAAAATTCTCCTGGGGATTGTACTGCACTTTGGGCCAAGCTGTCAGAGCAACTGTGGCTTCAAGAAGGCGCTCTCTGAAAGAAAAAAAAAATGGAGTTGGAAGATGTATGGATGTAAGGAAGGCTTTTTAATATGACCACAAGATGTGTTACATGACTGGTCGGCTCCGCCTCCTATTAGGGGTGTGGCCTATTATTACCCTATTGGATTTGTCATTGTGGGTATTTACATAACTATTCAGGAAGTACCTTACAGGAAACGGTGCTTCATCAATCACAATTGTCAAACATTGTCAAATTAAGAGTGCAGTTTGGACTCTTTGATGTGGCTTCTTGTGCAGAATTAAATGAAAACATTTAAAAACATTTTAGAAATGTAAAATCTAATAACTTTCTTTTACTCTGGATACAAAGTGCTAAAGAATAGATTATATAAACTACATTGTGACAGCTAAAACAAAATCCAGTGGAATGACACCTACCACAAACTCTCATGCAGTGTCTGTAGTCCCATTGTCAAGTAAAACTCATTGTGTGTTATAAGGACAATCATAAGTGCATTTTTATAATACTAGTGTGAGTGTACGTTTTGTACACTTTGTGTACACATTGTGTACTATGGAGCCTCTCTACTAAAGAGGTTATGTGCAGTATTACATCTATGTCCATGTTCAAATGATTAAACAACCATACAAACCCGTTGCTGAGCAACCTTAAAATAATCTTGACATGAAATCCTTTCCAGTAGTTTCTCTCTCTGTTTGCTTTCGTCTTCTCGCTCTTGGGCCATTTCTTTCAACAGCATGCCTTCTGTTTTTATACTCTGGGAAACATGCTAACCGGCTCACCATCAGCCCTGTACATCTTCTAACATTCTTGCCCCGATAGACTCGATCTGATTTCCTGTCTATAGATTCGGATTTTTCTGGTTCATCATTGGCTGGAAATCGATTTTTATCTAAGCAATGCAATTAGAGTGCTGCAGGCCTGCCCATGCGTGGCTCGCAGTCACGTCTGCAGTATCTCTGGTATCTCTTGGAAATGTGTTAGGTAATACGAGGGAGATGAGCAAGAAAATAGTCATTTCACTTGACTGCTTGAGTGGTTAAACTGCAGAATCAACGTCAATGGTGCTGTGTAGTTCTCTTTATAGGGTAAAATAGGTTAATTGTGGGAAAAAAAACTTTCTTTTTTCTAATTCCTATTCCGCTTCCCTGTGAAATATATTCTGCTTTCAGGAACAGTGCTGCACTTTTTGTCTTCCTTCCTGCACATCTGTGTGTTATTACTGCCTGCAATTTTCTATGTTCCTGAGTCAGATGCTTGTCATGGTGCTGTAAAGGTTTATATTATTTCACAGACGAAGTCATTAAGAGCTGCTTTCTTATTTTCTGTTTATTGATTAGCCCTTCCTGTTGTTTTGGCCCTACACTGTAGCGATGCTGATTGTAATACCCAGTCGTCTCCCAGTAACTTTAACCAGTAAATGGTCTTAGGCAGTCTGGAGATAATACCAGTTCATCGCACAAACACTATGCAAACTGTGCATCCTTGTACTGTGGAGAGCAACCTGTACCATAGGGAGAACAGATGCATACGCAGACTGGGAATGGGGTTCAAACACCCAACCTTGAGAAAAGTGAGGCCACCCCGACTGTCCCATAATGTGTTGTGTATTCGCTCATTCCCTTTTTGGGGAATGTCCTTCAGGGTTCCTTTATATATTTCTACTTGTAACATAAGTGGAACTGAAATGTTTCCTTAGTCCCACGAATGCTAACATAACGAGTTTGCTCTTTGCCCTGTGCGGTGCTGTAACTTCCTTACTGCAACACCGCAGTTATAAATCACCTTGGAAGCAGTTGCCAGCTAAATACAGACATAATAATAAAACCACTTAAAAATACTCGTAATAAGCGGCTATTGTGTTAATAAGAGAGAGGGGCCATTCAGCCTGCCCCGTAAAGTGGTGTCCCATTTTAAAAACACTTTAAGGATGTGGTTTTTATACTTGCCTAAAAGTGGTCCACATTAGTACACTTCGGTGAGTCTCAATATACTCAAAGCGTCCTATTAATAAGTGACCTTTTTAAATACCGTTTCATCCTGAATTGGGGAATAGTACAGCACACAGAGGATCGTCATGCAGGCTGCTTTTATTCTTAAGCGCTTAGAAGAAGGGCGGAATGATTATGAGAGTATAATCATTTGAGACCAGTCTTTTTTAAATTTAGTAGCAGAAATGATACAAATGGACCCCTTGCAGACTGTTCGCTGCTTTGTACCCTGCGAACAGCCCGGAGTACTGTAGACTGCCCCAATCAGTAGTTGGAAACTGGATGGATGGATGGATAAATTCCATAAATAATATAAATAAAATTGTAACATTGGTCCCAGAAATAAATGGTCTCCATCTTCTTTCTATTTTGGAAGCTGTGTGTCTTAGCAGTTTGCTAACCTATTGGAATAAAGTTTACAAGATTATTGACTTTCTTGAGTGGGCAGAATTTGAAGAAGTTAAGCTAGTAAATAAATGGTAGTACAGTTGTGTGCTGAGCTGGATCTATCACAACAGGTACATTTTTTTTTTTGCTGATCTGATCTATCTACATTCATTCATTCATTCATCCATTTTCTGTCGCTTATCTGGGGTCGGGTCACGGGGCAGCAGTCTAAGCTGGAATGCCCAGACGTCCCTCTCCACCTCCTCTAGTTCCTCCGGGGGAATACCAAGGCTAGCCAGGGGATATAATCTCTTCAGTGTGTCCTGGGTCTGCACAGGGCCTCCTCCCAGGTGGACATGCCCAAAACACGACTTGCTAGTCTAACAGAAACATATAGAAAAATATTCATCTGTCTCCACCTAATACTTTTTTTTGTAAAGTTGTCTGCATCGTTTCAATAGAGTCTAGTCCCTTGGAGTCATCAATGCCTCTCCTCCCCCCACCCTCCATGTTTTATCGACTTAGATGTTATCCATTGGCCACCATTGTTCTGGAGGAGATAATGTTTAACTCTGGAAAGGGTTAGCCATTTTGTTTCTGTTAGACTAGCAATGTTTTGTTTTGCTGTTATCTAAACTCCCTGTAGTGGACCAAAACCATGTGGAGTCATGTGACCAAAGATCTGCACAGACCAGGTCTGTTAATACATGGTCCCCACACTGTTGTACTTGCGTTCATTCATTTAGCTACGGTGGCCTAGAAAGCCCAATGCAATTCAAAATGAAAAAACGTACGTCTAATAGAAAAACGCACTGCAAAGCAACAAAGGATATTAAAGTTCATAAGGCACATGTAAACACACTGGAAATTCATAGATGCTACACAAATTCAGAAAACACTTTCATCAAAATGACAACACACGCGCCACATTTTACAAGCGCGTTGCAAATACAGAAAACACCTGTAACTACGGAAACTGCAAATAGCCACAACAAAACTTTAGTGTTAGGAAATAGGGAAATAAGGCTGTGAGATATGACGATATGTATCGGATGATGAAATAAAAATGTCATATTATACCCTGTCCTTTATTTTGTGGTGCCGCAAAATACATCGTTTCAGCAACATTTTTTCATCATTTGAATGACAATTAAGGTTTCATGCTTCACGGGATGTGGCAATTGTATGGAATTTTTTATTGGACTTTATTATTTGTAACCCACAGAAGACAATCCACAAATACTAAGTACCATGATCTACAAATATTTAACTATCCACAAATATGTTTTTTTAAATTTGTGTTGTGTAAAATCATCCACAAAAATACAGAGTGATTTTTACACGTGAAACGTGTTTTGTGCATTTGTGGATCGTTTCCGGTCTATTTGTGGACCAGGTTACATTTGTACTTCCCTCCTATTTATTTATGGACTTTGACACAATGCAGTTTATTTTTAGTACGGAAAAGTATTGCGAGGGAACTCAAAACGATTAAAAAAATATATTCTCACCCAGACCTCTTAGGGCTCCATATATCGCAGCTGATCTGTAGAAAAAAATCACAAATACATCACTATCCACAAATATGTATTCTTAAATTTATGTTCTGAAAAATCATATCAACAAATAGAGTGATTTATACACGTGAGAGGGGCTTTGCACGTTTCTGGATCACTTCTCGCCTATTTGTGGATCACGTTACATTTGTGACCTCCTTTTTATTTGTGAATTTTTGTCTAATTCCTACCTCAGTCTGATCTGATCTGTAGAAAAAAAATCCTTAAATATGAGGTGCAGCCGTGATATATATTGTTATCGGAATATGAGATGACATATCGTGATATGCGATTTTGGACATATGGCATAGCCCTATTACGAAATAATCAAGATGCTATGTGGTAAATGGTAGATATGATGTGACTGATAACTCCTGTACTATAGCCTGTAACTACTCAGAAAGCTACACAAGTTAATCATAAAAACAGCTGCCACTGATTATTTACTGTAACTTAAAACAAAGCAGTTTGCCAGATTAGCGAAGTTTTAACGTTTACGTTAAAAACATTATTACTAGCATGTGACTGCCAGAAAAAAAGTGTCCTCCAAGTTGTGCTGTGGCTATTTGCCAGGCGTTTACGAAGTTGCAGGTGGTTTCTGTATTTGCAGCGCATTTGTAAAATGTGCCGCATGTGTTGTCATTTTGATGAAAATGTTTTCTGAATTTGTGAAGCGTTTACAAATTTGCTGCAAATTTTGCTCTTCAAATCTCTCCCTTGATTCTAAATCCAGGCCATGTTTTCAGTTGTCCCAAGCAGTTAGTTTAATAATTATTGATTCTGATTGGCCACAGAGGCATCATACCTGGCTCACAGGTAAACGAAGGCTGTAAAATCAGCAGGACGAGTAAACAAGGCCAGGGGTGGGACTAAGGCCACCATTCCTTGTTGTGTTATTCTCAGCAGATTAGCATGATTTGCTTGTGATCAGAAGGTTATGGGTTCAAATCCCTGGCTCGGAAGTTGGACCCTAGCGCAAGACCCTTAACCCCCAATAGCTTGAGGGTCTGGCTGACTCTGGATTCTCAAAAAAGGTTATATTGCTTTGGATAAAAGCATTTGCCACATAAATAAAATGTATGTATATGCTGTGTAACTGTACATCCTTTGATCTCCGGACAAGGCAACCTGTCACTATATTTAGCAGCATTTAAAAAGACTCTGAAACTGAATCTAATATCCCATGTAATGGAATTTCTTTTCTTGGTCACTGTGAGCCACCCCCTGCATTTCTCCATCGAACACCATTGTCACACTTTCATACATACATTTTCAAACATGGCTGCCCACATCAAAGGCTGTGTATGTCAGCGGTCATTCCATTTTTTTTCCCCTACGTCAGTCTCCCTTGCTTCGTGGTGAGTAACCTTGGCCGCTTGCGGCAGAGGCGCTCTAGCCCCTGGCAGCCCTCGTTTGCCTTTACGGTTAGAACCGCGCACTTTACATGCAACGTCTGCTTCAGAAAATGCGGTCTCCTCACGAAGGTCCCCGTCGGCGGCTCTGTGGGGCATATTTTAACAAGCAGCAGGTATTTGACACACAAAAAGGACGTGTTGTTACTCAGCACGGTGTGTGAGACGATTCGCACCCAGCCAAAGAAGTTTAGGATGAGTACTGCGGTTGATATTCTCAGTCCTTATCCTGGTTAACCTTGCTGGAGCTGCTTTTCGTCAAGCTGTAAAATAATATACCCTGACTGAGCTGTTGATTGGACTCTGCTGATGATTTTTTTGTAACTTTTAACATATGGTTTTCTGAGAAGCAGAGCTACAGAGGAGGTTGTCAGCTACAATCTCCTGCTCTGTCAAAAAACCTTGCTCTCCCGGGTGAGGAGACGTGCTGGCAGGATTGTCATAGACTCCCCCCGCCCCTCACCCAGTGTCCCAGTGACTCACTCCAGAAAAATGCTAAAGTTCCATCAAAACCAGATCCAATTGGCATTCGCATGTCATCTTTCCCAGAGCTGTCGTCCTGTTCAACAGGCAACCATAGAATAATTACACCCCTCAGATTCTCCCTCACTTCTCTCCACTTGCCTGGACTGTCCTCATTCCTACATACATACAGATCATAGTCAGTGTTTTTGGATTAATCTGCTGTTTTGTTACATGTCTACACTGTACTTGCATCTGCTAATCTTTTAGAGGACGTTTCATGGAGGTTTAAACTATAAAATGTGCCAGGCTTTGATGTTAAGCAGCACCAAATGTATCACAGTGAATTCAGTGTTTATGGTAATGTACCGGTCCTTAAAATAATGCAGTTTCAAATGTAATTACAATATATTTGCATAATTAAGTAAGTAACCCATTCATCCATCTTCCATGACTACTTGTCCAGTAGAGAGTTGCAGTGATATAAATAATGTAATCATGATAAACTAATGGGAGGTACAGTGGCTCGATGGTTAGTGCTGCAGCCTCCTGTGTTCGGGGGTCGAATCCCACTTCCTGTGTGTCTGTGATTGTAGAGTTTACATGTTTCCTCTTGGTACCTCAATTTCCTCCCATGGACCAAAGACATGCATTCAGAGTGATTAGCATCTCTAAATGACCCTTGTACGACTGGCATCCTGTCCTGGGTGTACCCCCTGCCCTGTGGTGGACTGGCATCCTGTCCTTGGTGTACCCCCTGCCCTGTGGTGGACTGGCATCCTGTCCTTGGTGTACCCCCTGCCCTGTGGTGGACTGGCATCCTGTCCTGGGTGTACCCCCTGCCCTGTGGTGGACTGGCATCCTGTCCTGGGTGTACCTCCTGCCCTGTGGTGGACTGGCATCCTGTCCTGGGTGTACACCTGCCTTGGCTGCTTAGGGCAGGCTGCTGGCTCCTTTGTGCTCCTAATAAACAATTATTGTAGATGGATGATTAATTCTCCCCTAATTGTTAGTGAATGGTTAATAATAAGTTTGTACTGTGGGTCACGGTTTTATTGCAACTTCATCAAAATACAATAATGAAGAAATCTGCTGGAGAAGAGCCCTGGGTGCAGGGAGCCTGGGGATCTCTGCTGCGGACTGCCGCCCTGGGTGAGCCATGGCTTTGCACCCCTTACACACATGGCTGTGTGATGGAGGGACCCGTTGGGTTTTCATGCTCCAGTGCTTGGGCGGAGTCCCCAGCAAGCGGCCGAGCCCGGCTGCAGCCTCTGGCTGGCGCACTGGAGCGTTTCCTGTGCGGATATGAAAGTGTCACTCGCTCTTACGATAAGTCATCGCGTTCCTCACAGCTTGATTTAGGGTGCTTCAGCGGACGAGTGGAGTGCCATGCTTGGGGACAGGGAGAAACGTTGCACCTTTGACTGCCTCAGGATGCCGACTCCTCTTACCACTGCCTTTAAGGGCTCTCCTGTTTCCTCCCACCACACAAGGCAAATCCCTTATTTTAAGGAAACGTGAATCTAATGCATCTGCATTCATTAGACTTTTCCAGTGAGTTGCAAAGGTGATATTTTCACCGGAGGAAAACTTTCATGTCAGTACTGTGTTAGGAAATGGAACAACACTTTAAATTGCATTAAGTTTCAGGTTTTGGTGTCAGTAGTCTCAGACATTATACTATTGTCCATCCATCCATCCATCCATCCACTTACCCTGGACAAGGTCAGGGGGCCTGGAGCCCTTCCCAGGCAGGACTGGGCACACATGGTAGGAACACACCCTGAATGGGATGCCAGTCCCTGTATTCATGAAGTCAAGTGAATGACATTTGTAAAAGGACATACTTTCTAGGGACAAAAACAGAAAATTTCACTGCAGATCCAGCAGAGGCAGCTAGTGAGGAGGTGTGGGCAGGTACCAAATTTGATGAAAGTCCAGATATATCTAGCTAACGGGAAAAAAAATCAGTGATGGTGTTCCAGGGCTGCAGCTGATTATCAGTGATAACTGTGAAGGTGTGCGAACCGCTGTGGAGCGGAGATAGTGCCCTGGGGAGACCGGCAGGGCTGGGCAGAGCAGAGGCCTCCCAGCCTGGATGTCCGGCTTCTACACGGGGAAAGCAAACTGATGTATAGCTTCACGGAGCTCCTGTTAACCGTGGCTAATCCACACATGCTTCGGGAAACACTTTCTGGGTGCTGCAGGACGTAGTAAGAGATATATTTGATGGAACTGCAATATAACACCACAGATATGATGTAGAATGTGGAACTCAACATTTTCTGTGCCGCTGCACATTTTCGATTGATGTTCACCCTAAATGTGTTCCGACCGTAGTTGTGTTATGCATCCCCTATCCATTCACGATGTACATATGCATAATTGATGCAGTTTCTCCCTCAGGTTAATAATCTGGCGAGCCTCGCTTCTCGGGGCGTGTTCAGGGGGGGCAGCGGGATGCTGCCGACCGGTGACTCAGGAGGGGATGTGCGCTCAGCCTCGAGGTGAAAGGTTCTGGCAGGAAGCCGGGAGAAGCCTCGCTCCTCTGGGCCTTGCTCTTTGACTCTGACAAAGCTGCATGTTTAACCAATGAGGGGCCTGCTTTTTCCTGCTCTGCTCATCTCTGCATGTTTAACCAATGAGGGGCCTGCTTTTTCCTGCCCTGCTCATCTCTGCATGTTTAACCAATGAGGGGCCTGCTTTTTCCTGCTCTGCTCAACTTTGCTGGATTCCTTGTGGTTTCGTGTTTGGCTGAGCAAAGGCCAAGAGACGTAACAGAGGAGTACAGTGGGGTATCGGACATGTAATAGATGATCAAGGGCAAGCACTTGTGCACCTATGGCCATCCATCCATCCATCCATCAATCCATCCATCCATCAATCTATCTATCTATTTATTTATCCATTCAACCATCCATCTTCTAACTACTTATCTTGGTCAGAATCATTGGGGGGGCAGTAGCATTACTAGAGATTTATAAAAAGGAGGGGCAAACAATTACTGGGGTGTTGATTTTAAAAATGAATTCACAATTTACACTAATTAACGTGCATTTATTGGGGGGGGGGGGGGGTTATGGCTGGAGCAGCCTAATCCACAAGGCAGGGGTCCACCC